CATTCTTAATGGAAAGTACAAATCTGCCTCCCATAATGTTGGGTCGCTGGTCACCCTTTTCTATGTCTTCGCGACAGACGATCTCAAATGTTCCTCTCTCTGCTAACCCAGAGAGTTCCTTGCGTTTGGCCTCTTGCATTTCCGATGTGTAACTGCGAGGGTCACCAAAAGACAGCGTTTCAGTGACAAGGATACCTGGCGGTGGGGATGAACGGAACTGATCGAAAGCTTTTACGAGTTTTTGTAGCTCATGCTCCCCATTAACTTCAGAGTCGGGTAAGACTTGAGAAATATTGAATTGTTTCGGCTTTCCGTCCCATTCTACAGTAATAATTTTGCCAGCGACCTTTTCGACAGTGAAAGGGCCTTTCCAGGACCCTGTTCTTTTGCAGCCTGACTTTCCCTCGCGATAGACATGCACCGCGTCCCCAGGTTTGATAAGAAAATGCGTGGAAGGCGGTATCTTAGAACGTAGGGCTTCTTGCACACGTAAGCGGGCAACGACGGAAGCCATTTCTTTCCTTGCTGTTTGAAGGGCGGCCATGCGTTCCTTTTGCATTGGCACATCCATATTGACTGCGGGGAAAGATGGTAGAGACCCGAAAACCAGCACTGATGGTACAATTCCATCTGGACCTGTGGTGTCGTTGAGAGCTTTCACAGCGAGTCGGAGACCAATTTCGGGATCGATAGTGGGGTGGTCTGTCAACACTTTGTCAAAGACTTGGCGGAGAGGCTCATGGTATCGTTCCCCGACGCCAATAGAGTTGTGGCTTTCGACGCCCGATATCTGAAGTTCGATTCCATGCAGTGATGTGACACCATTCCAGAATTTTGACGTGAAAATAGAGCCCTGGTCTGCACGTATACGGTTTGGATATCCGATGTACACAGAAGCCCAGCCCTCGATAAAAGCATCCCACACGTCTTTGGCGGATTCGCCTTTCAGAAGCACAGCATTTTGAAATCTGGTCTGAGTGTCCACGATGTGTAATAAGGGATTCCGTTTTATCCACATGAGGTCGATCGCAACTTCATGATTGAATCTGACTTCCTCTCCCGGGATTGACACACGGAAGCGATATGGGCCGGCTTTGTGGGTGTGGCAATTTCGGTATGCATCAGCGATCTCTTCCAACGTCCGCCTTGTGTCTGCGGTGACTTCCTCTGGGCGAGCACGCTTGAGCAAGTTGTACAGTTTCTGGACGTTGGCATGAAAAAGGTGGAGGTGGAGCTTTCGTAGCTCTGCTTTGGTAAATCGAATGGATTCTTGTCCCCATTCCACAAACATGTGGCCGTGCTTGCGTTTAATTGGGAGTTTTCATTTGTCGCGTCGGCTCTCCAGTACGTTGCTGACATTGTCAGCGACCAGCCTTTCATTGTCAAGGACGTCTAGTCCCAAGAGAAAGGGTATGTCGGCATCAACCACGTCAATAAGCAAGGGAAGAAACTGCCCATCCGGGAGTGGTAGGCGTAATTCAAGCTTCCCCATGCTTGCACATGATCCATTTCCGAAAATGTGAGTCACCAATGAAGGGCATAGGCGAAATTCCTTTTTGAACATACGGCATTATGCCTGCGCTTGGCGTTTCCCGATAACAGACTTCGATGCACCGCCGTCTAAGCAAGCGCCGTCGAAATGCCATTTTCTGTATCTCTTGCCTTTCGTCTCGGCATTCATACTGAGTACAGATGCGTATCGCCTCCATCTTTCCCTCTTTACATGAAAATCTCTACTTCTTCTCTGGCGGGGTAGAAAAAAGGCTTGACTTGCTTGCCGAAAGGATGCAAAATCGTCGTTGTATGGTTTGTCAGGTGCTTTCTTCAGCCTAGTGTACGGGACCTGTCGGCAAGGTAAGTCCCGACTTAAAAAGCCGCGTTTTTGCCCGACCACTGGAGTGCTTCCGCCCCGGCGGATGCAGAGACAGTGTCCAGTATTCCGATAGCTGCTTTAGAGTCATCAACAAACGACACTGAGTGGGCGTTATTATCTTCCGAATCTGTGTTCCCATTGGAACTATCGCCGCTTGACGTGTCGGCATCTGAATCCCGCGTGAAAGAAATGGTTCCCTCTCTCCCTGCTGCGACGAGGACTTGTGCAACTTCGTAGAATGCCTCTACGTAGTTAGAACGAGAACCCTTGTTTGCACGGAAAGTAGCCAGGTTTCGAGCTATACGATCTAGATTTACTGGCTGTGTACAGGACCTGACACGACATCCCTCTTTCTCGCAATTGAAGCAGGTCGGCTTACTTCTTGTTGGTCCAGGCCTTTGTGGCCTTTTTCCATACTTGGCGGGTCCTGCGTAGTTGATCTTCCATCTGGATGCTCGGTGGGAGCTCGAACTGGAGCGAGCTTGGGAGTTGTTTCCGAAGATACTCCATTTGGTTTGGAATTTTTCTAATGTGGTGCGATAGCGTATGTACGGCATGTTCATTACTTCATGGTTCGTCGAAACCATGAGTGCCCATTCTCTGTTCTGTACAGCGCCTTCTAGAAAAGACCTCTTGTGGAAGTCACTTCTCAACTGTGGGTGCGCCATGGGGGGCAGTTTCTCGATATATTTGGTAAGCTCTTTCAGAGCTTGACGTTCTGAACGGCCGCCTGTTTCGTAGTCAGCAAGAGTCAGGGAGCGTAGGCGCTCCGTAACTGCATCCATCTTAGATTGTGATGAATATGCGTCGTTGAGTATAGCAATAGCGGTACCCCAGCTTCGTGCTTTGCCGAGCACTTGGTCGTAGTAAAAATCGAGTGCTTCATCGCGTAGAACGTGACGCAAGAATTGAACCTTATCTTCGGTATTGGCACCAGCTTCTTCGGATACCTGCTGGTATGCCATCAGAAATCGAGGCCAGTTCTCCTCTAAAGCTCCCGAATATTTGTCAGATGTGTTTCGAAAATTGGCAGCAAAAATCTTCGACACTTTCCCTTTGTGGTTATCCGTTGGAACCTGATTCCTTTGGGGGCGCTCATGCGCCTGGGCAAAAGGATTTTCGCGTCCAATGTGGTTTTGTGGTGAGACGTTTGGTGTGATTATCACGTCCTCACCTCTCTTGATGGGATCATATCTCGCAAGCGCCCTGAGGCAGCCTTCTCGATCAACGTTTTCAAAAAGAGCGCATATGACCCTGCGGGGAATGCGTCGACCCGAACATTCGGTCGAATTGCATTGTATCCCTCGGGATTCAAGAAATGCACGCAGTCTCTTGTACATTTTCGGGTTAATGACTATATCGGGATGAGCCAATTCCGACGGTGTCAGTTCTTCAGTTATAATTTCCTTCAGTTCTGAACCTGCAAGTTCCATTTGTGCTTCGTATCCGACAAACAAATTTCGTAGTCCAGTTTTCCTCCCATTTGAGAGTTGCAAACCACGCTAGAAGCGAGTTCCACGATCAGCGTTTGCCATGACTCTTTCTGCCGCAGCGTTAGAGTCGGTGTTTGCTGCATTGTCTTGGCTTGCGCCCGGGACACTGCTGCTCATTTTGTGCAATTGTCTTTATTCGCGAATGTCGATCAAAATGCGGTTTTGTCGCAAGTCTTCCGTCACAGGACAGAAGGTAGCTCGCTGGAGCCGTGCGCTGGTAGTTCAATACGTGAACAAGTTTATTTGATGGTTCTGATGTCTCCCTCTCTCCTATGTTTTTCCTATCTCCTCTTTTATGTCGCTCCGGGTTCTTTGTCTCCAACTTACTGCCACGTCTGCTGACACAGACGGGGAGCACTGTAGAAACCACGATCTTTCGTCATTCTCAGTTTCCGCCCTTTCGCGCTCGCCCCATGTGGGTTACCTTGTCCGAATCAAGGTAACGAAAGGGCAGGGGATACAGTAGTCTAGTTGCAGATACAGAAGTGAATCTTAGAGCAAATCTTGTGCAACATTCCGGATCAATTGCACCGGAATGATATCGACACAAACAGAACAACTTCGGTTTTCAACGTGTACACGTGTCGTTTATGTGCTTAGTTGCACTTTTGTAGCAATTCTGAGCATGCTTCATTTTTGTGTTGAGACGTCTACTATCTGCACACATTGGCACTCTACAGTACATTCTGAACATGTTTCATTGTTCTTGATTTGACACGTGTGTGGCACGTATGATATTTGTCCTACACGTGTGTTACACATATGAAATATATGTCACGGTGTTTTTGCTCTAAAACTTGCAATGCATTAATCGTAGACTAAAGTCTCTACCCTACAGCACAGCGCATTTAGATATTATTGACTCTCAGACGGTCCCAAATAATCATTAACAGAGAGTGCAAACGTTATCATCGACCGAGAGTGCAAGAAGGAGAGTCACCTGATTATCAGCGACAGAGAGTGCAAACATTATCAACAACCGAGAGTGCACGGAGGAGAGTCACTTGACCAGCCCTAATGGCCCGTACTGTATTTCGTAGACTATAAGTAACGCCGATAGTTGGCGACCAAGAGTAAAATGACATCAACTTCTTTTCAATCAACCACCACCAGGTTACGTTTGTGCACATTGTCGCGCTTCTGTCAAAACTACGGAGTGTCATGTTTTGAGAAGTCCGCCCCAATACGAAAAACCCCGCGCAAGCGTGAGTGAGAGGATTAGTTTTTAAATATACCCACAAGGTTTCGAAGTATTTAAATGACTTTCCCACTCGTCTGGCAAAAAAGTCAACCAGCGATGGCCAAAACCTAGAATTTGGTTAAATTTGGCAGCAATATTTTCCGTTCAATAGTTTGTGACGCAGTTCAATACTTGCTGTACCCTCCCTTTAGTGGCTGCCCAGCTATTAGGGGTATCTGGTGGAATTAGTGACCGAGATAGAAGAGTACATAGACAAGTTGTCTTCGCTGTCACTTGACGTTTGACTCCGATGTAGAGTTCCTTGTTTAGCTCTCCCTCCCTCCCTCCCTTTACTTGCTGCGCGTCCCCTGCCCCTGTGGGCAGAGTCGCCATGGGCATAACCGCGGAATTATGCTGTGTACAGTATCCGTGGCTACTGTCCCATGCCGATGGGTTTTAAGTTGAAACGTTCAACTTTATTGTTAAAAAAATTCCACGCCGCTGGTGTCAAGTCAAACAAGAACAACGCGTTATTTTTTTCCATTTGCCCACAAACTCGCCGGACGTAAAGTAAACCCGAGTTTGAAAAATCCCACGACGGGTTTTGCAGACTGACCTCCAGCAAGGTACCTGCCCGCAACAAACGCAAGTCTGGTACATCGTTGTGCCGTCCGACGGATCACGTGCACCTGGGCGAATACTCGCTGAAGCGAATATTGTAGCTCGCCACAAGGATAGAATAGTTCTCAGTCGAAAGGGCGATGTGTTTCGTCTTCTTGACGGGCTGAGGGGGGCCGTTTAGAGAGGACCGCTTTTTAGAAGCTTCTACTTGTCTGTCTTCTGCGATTGCTTTAGCAGCGTATGTGGCAGATCTTGTGGTGCTTCGATCCGTTGATGGACCCTGGGTAGATGAAGTGATAGGGGCGTCCATGACGCCAACCGGTACGAACTGTGCAGTATAAGACTCGTTTGTGCTGATGAGAGAGCGGAAACCCCATTTCGTTTTCCTTCAAGACGGGTCGATCCGGCACTGCCGTACAGTAATCAGGCGGATGTGAAAACTCGTGGAAAACTCACATGTCCCGAGTTTTCGCTATGCTGTGAGTTTTGCAAAACTCGTTGTCTGAAAAGTTTGCAATCAGAAAAGCCGAGCAAACTCGCGGCCAAAACACGTGTTTTCGCGACTTTACGGACAACGTTAAGGGACTCGTCAGAATGCAGTCTTTTCAACGACATCGCGCGTTAGCCATTTTCACAGGGTTAACATCCTCTTCGTCTAGAAATGGCTCAGGGCCATCCTTTGATACTTGCGCGAAGGAATAAGCATCTTTAGACTGGTTCTTGTAGTGTTGTTGTGGTTCCTCAAGGGTATCTCTTTTTCTGACATCGTGTCCATGACCGATCAAGCCGGTCATTCTGTCGGAAAACCGCGACGGCCGTGTCAGCACCGTGAACATATCAGTGTCCCTCAGACTTCTTTCTTCTGCAGAACGATACTGTAGGTACGAGTGCCACGAATCAGGTTGGAGCAGGAGAGGTAGAAGTTGTTGCAGCTTCATTCTCCGATCATCACAACATTTGATTTGGCTACCGTAGCATTGAACGAATGACACCATCTGGGCTATACAAGGTTGAAAATCGTCAATGGATGGTGGCCTCTCTTTCTGAATTGGTGTCATGGCGCCTTCATCCCGGGCAGGCGCCTGTCTCTCTCCAGACAAACGTACCGGCTCCACGGGCACGGTAGTCTGTTGAAGCCCATGACTCACAGTAGCACTTCGACACGGTCCTGTCACGCAAGTCTTCGCGTCCTGAGAGTTTCGCAGGACGCAAACCGGGGAGGCGTCTAAATCAACATTACCACGATAACGCTTGTTTTTGGATTCGAACTCTTCCTTGTACAATAGCTTTCCCGGGCGTGGTCTTTTATGATGCTTTGAGACTTGTCTGCCTTTTGGCCGGGGTTTCTCTCCGAACACACATCGTGACTGTTTAGGGCAACCGGATACACTTTTTGACGTGCTCGCATTCCGAGCCTTCGCTCGTTCAGTCGACGAAATCAGTCTTTCTCCGGAGTAGGGACTATCATTCCCGCGAGAACATCCTATTAGAATGTTCTTCGACGTTATGTTTAGACTGCTCCCGCTGGTTTGCGCCGGGACGCTCGATCCAGCAGCTTCGAGTTGCCATACTATGTCATCGCATGACTGTGTTTCACTTTTATAAACGAAACTTTCGACTCTCCTTTCTTCCTTTTCGGGGCTGGGATCCCTCGTTACGACCTTTTCGAGACTAGTTTTACCAATTCTCGGCACCTCTGGCAAAGGAATGTCAAGGGCAGCGGTCGCGGAAACAGGTTGTCGTTCCGCGCCATGGAGAATCGCGGCTGAGGATCGTCGCCTGTGAGAAGATAGTGCTCCTTCACGGTGACAAATTGCATTGCGCTCATAGATTGCCTCATGTACAGCGGCCCTATCCTCTTCTAGCACATCTGCTTGTGCCTCATGTACAACGGCCCTATCCTCTTCTAGCACATCTGCTTGTGCTTTGTTGAGGTGCGAATTCAGCGATGCCCTTTCAGTCAATACAGATGCGGCACGGGAAGGACTATATGCCACATGTGCATATTTCTTGCTTGAAGATAGAGACGGGGCATGCCGCACTGTGGATGAGACATTGGAGCGGGTTGATATTCTGGGCACAGCTTGCGGACTGGGGGGTTTGTAGGTTGTAGGTTTGAGTGCTGGTGGCAACAGCAGGGAGGTTGGCCACACTGTAGGCGAGGAATTCCTTGGCTGGGGTGATTGAAATCGCGACCTCCGGTTCAATTCTGGTGCTAAGAAGGCCAACGGCAGCTGTGAAGGCTCTAAAAGTTCACTCGGACCAAGAAAGGTTTCCGCATCAGAGTGCTTTCGGGCCTTGGGCCGTGACCGTGGAGACGGACTAAATGAGTGCTCCATTCGGGTTCCTCTTTGGTTTGCGCCGCGAATGTGATGCCTTGATATTGATAACTGCGGTGCTTTCGTGCGAAGTTTGTCCCGCGAATGAGGAAGCGGGGCTGTCCCTATCGTCGGCTCCGCATTTCGCAATGTGCCAAACAGAACAGGGGACAACTCGTTTGCGTAATAGGAAATAAGTTGCACTTCTCTGGGGAATATGCGAACTATCGGACTTTGGTGCACCTCCGGGCTCGGTGGTACTGTGAGAATCCTGAAAGCCGTTGGGTGGGGAAGATTAGTGTACGGCACGGCGGTGTATTCGGCCATGACCCAGTCGTCGTCCTTTGTTCCCTCTCCGCAGACTACGAAGTGCATGTCAACTTGGCCTTGTAATGGCATGTTGCGTTGCATTAGGTGTTCACTTATTGGCAAGGAAAAACGGATTTTCTCGAAGTGCACTGGCGACGGCTCGTCGCTTTGCGGGGACTAGGAGCGCAAGAGAAGCATTCTGAACGGTTGAGGCGCGAACCAGGACAAGGAAATAGGGACAAGGAAGGGGCATATTCTGCTGCTCTACCATTTGTGCACTTGTAGTGCTGGTACTCTTCTTACAGCTTTCCTCTCTGCTCACCCTATGCATCGGAAGAGATGAGATCGAATGATTAAAATCCACACTCCAATTCTATGGCAACCGAGTTGCAAGCGACGAAAAAATTAATTTTCCAGTGCCCCCCCCACACGTGGACAACAGCGAAGGAACTGTGCAGAGGCTGCAATTCCACAATCCGCTTGCCCTCACAAGGCTTTGCCAAAGGTGCACCTATTTTACCCCTCACGGGTAATTGCATGGCCACGTGTTCCGCCCTGTTGTTGCACGTTGTGCTTCACGTGTCCGCGTGTACAGGTCTGGAAGGTCCAGCAATGTCGGTCGCAGTGGAAGGGCATGCAGCCCAAAGCTTTTGTGCAAGTACGAGGGAAAGGGCAATTTGCAGGCCGATTCTCAAAGGGTCCTGTATAGCATAGATTTTCAACGGTATTGGCGACCGTTGCGCATACCGACACAAGTGGTGTCGGTTTACTTGTAAGTTGCCATACGCAGTGGCTAGTTCAAATGCAATGGACTGATAAGAGGAAGATACAAATCGAGGTGTAGAGGAAGGCAGAAAAATATAGAGAGCGGCTGCGAGGCTCTGGCTGATTGCGCCTTCCCACTGTGTTCGTAGAGTTATGCTTTCCTTCACTACCGCGGCACATCCATGGATGTCACACCTGTACACTTCAGTACACTATCACATATTTGATGTGGCAGCACATGATTCACAGCGGCGATTGCTGAGTCGGGGCCGGTCCACGCTTGCAACGGGCTGGGAGCGGCCGCGGCGGTCCTAGTGCTGTACAAGTACAGTAACGGTACCGTACACGCCAATATCATTAAAGGGGTCAATTATTTGTACAGGAGTTGGAACTCCTGTACGAAAACTAGACGGCGTTCTGCATCACAGAAGCAGGCTTCACGTAAACTTTACTGTACCAGGGTACCGTGTGATGGGAAAGCACCCGTAGCGAGGCATGACTGTCTTGATCCTGGAGCAGATCTCTGCAGTGCGATGCGCTGGTGTATGGGTTGTGGAATTGTGGGAGAATTGGTGCGTCTTTGTCGATGCGGCGATGGTTGAGGTATGAGAAGGGAGGATACTAAGGATACTGAATTACAGTTCGCACTCCGGTGCACTATTTACGTCGGCGGCGGCGACGGCCGCTCTGTGACCTCGCGCCCTCCGGGTTGTCGGAATATAGCAAAGTCTAAGAGTCGTTCTCTACTTTGCTCGCCCCTCGGCGTGCGGCCGAGGCTCCGGCGCTGGCGGCCCCTGCCGCCACAGAAGCGGCAGGGGCCTAATGGGTGTGACGAAGGAGGGCGGTGTCGGACGAAACTAATGACCACTAAGTGGTCTCGGCGTTAGCCGGGATCTACAAGGGTGAGCGCGGTCTGGTAGCCCGAGTAAACTTTACCTTTCTCTAACTCTCTTTTGCTTGTCTCGGGACCAGATCGACGGTCTTCGGACGAGCGTGAAAGTCAGCAATGAGAGCTGTGGCTGTGGCACGCACGAAAATTTAGTGGTTAATCCCGGAAATACTTTCAGAGCTTGTGTCTTTCGCTACTACAGTACTGTAAATGCTTTATTCAATGACTATTGTTGCTTGTTCTATACAGTACTACAGTACTGTATTGAGAACAAATGCAAATACTGTACCCTTTATTCCAAGCGTGACACCTGGACGTTCTCTGAGATGGCATTCGCTCAAAAGGATTGAATAAAGGAACTTCGGTACCCTTTAGGGTAATATACTGTACAAGGGGGGACGCGCAATAGTGCCGCTTTCATTATTGCCACCCTCGAATTAGTGCCGCAAAAACCGGCAGACACAAGTTCTGCCACGTGTCATGCACGACGTCGTCATCGCCCACTCCTCATGCGCCTCAGCTCAATTGGTGATGGCACCTCACTCAAAGACCCTAACATGATTCCTGAAAAGATCGCCAAAGCGAAGCGTACGCGCCTTACGATTGCACAGAAAATCGAGGTTGGGCATCTGCTGCAGGTCGGGAATGCGAATACCACAGTAATGCGTCAGTTCAAAATTTCAGATCGAACCATCCGAAACATCAAACGCTCTCTTCCTTCACTCCAACAAATTGTGACCAAAACCGCTGCAACGCTCAGAACAAAGACGTTGCACCCTGCGATGTGGAGGAATGGATTGAGATCGAGACTAATGAGCTTGTGGCAGAAGCTTCTATTAGTGATGCTTGCGATTCAATACATTATGGTGGAGAGCTACAGAATCAGTCTGCCAGTGATGCTATGATGGATGATTGTGTGGCAGAAGGCGAGTGTGAAATTACGGAGAGGCGGGCAGTACCGAGTGCTGTAGTGCTAGCAAGGTTGTTTGGGTCTTTGGAGAGTCTGGGTGTGGAGTGCGATATGAGCAATGCCTTATCGCACTTGAGGTCCGCAAAACGAGCTTTTCTAGAACCTACTAGCTAGGCATGAGAGACTGGGTCAAAGGCAACAACAGCAGACTCTAATACTGTAACAGAGTTCTGGCCGGGTAGTGGTTCTGCCATCTGATTGTGCCGCTCCGAATTAGTGCCGTAATATTAGTCCTTACACGCGGCGGCACTAATGCGTAGGGTCGACTGTACCGATAAGGTACAGTATCCGGTGCAACACTGCTGCACAGAAGTAAAGTACCAAGGGTACAGTACCGAAAACGATTGTAACTAAATATGCGCAGTGTCGGATAGGAAGGCGTTGCCTACCTTGTCGGCGGAATAGTTCATTAATAGTTCCCTTTCAGTTGCCAACTTCGGAAGAGTTGACGAATGGAAGGCGCAGGCCGTGCGGTACTACTACTGTAATGCAAAGCTTTAGCTACATAGTCCGGGATGCGAAAGCAGTTTGAGGCCGGTTCCATAAAGTCATCCAACGACTTCGGGCGATGCCCTAGCTGGAGAAATACTCTAACAAAACCAGTCGAGTAAGGGGGTTTCCTGTGTGTCGGAAAAAGCAGTGAAGATAAGCTATGAAGACGCTCCGAAACGTTTTTATACTACCACGGAACACTTCTTTCCGCAAAAGGAGATAACAGAATGCTGCTGTTGGCTGGCAGCGATACATCTACTTTTCCAGGTGGCTTCTCTTTAATATTCGAAAACTGGCAGACGAGCTGTGTGAGTGAGTCATTTACAAGTCAAGGAAACAGAGCGCGAAATAAGAAGAACAGTACACAAGTTAAACTATCGAGTTCACTGTCTTTTGCTCAGGTGTGATGACCATATTAACAGTGTCGTCTTTAACAGTAAAAACGACCCCCATACTTCGACTGCGCTGCAACTGACTATTAAAACTCGATTTTACTAACTCTTATGGAGCACGTTGTCATTAAAAGGACAATACTGGGGTCCGCGTTTTGTTGTGATTCGGATTCGTACTGGTTCGCATGTGAAACAGAACCTCCATACCGCTTCGCCGAGACTTTCACTGGCCGCAGCGCCCTATGTCCGCTCCTGCCAACATCTTCGGACACCTGAAAAGTCCCCGACAAACCACCGGCGGGCAAGTTGTGAGACATGCAATTTGAGGGCAAAAACCAAAAGAACTACAGTTTTCAACACAACAGGCAGCGACTAAAAACATGTGCTGTAGATATGGTATGCAAATATCATATATAGGGGTTTATATAGCATGTAAAGACGCACACGAAACAAATACGGCACACAGTCCCTAAAACACTTAGATCACTTCCGCAACAGGGGCTTCAGGGGCCATATCGTTCATCTCATTAGAAGCATTCGCGCCATTCTCAATGCTCTCCGAGTCCTTGACATACACAGTGTTGTCGTCCATGTACGTGCCATCTGAACCAACGTTCATCGCGTACAGGACCAGCAGCAACGACAAGGCACCGAAGAAATAGGTAGTAACCACGATTGAGAATGACAAGGCGGTAAGCGACGGCCAGCTTGACTTCAGGCGATTTGTCTCAACAAAGTCGCCGTCGAAAATGAGTCCGAAGAAGAAGAAAACATCCATTCCACAATTTGCTTCATCCCTGCCGATGCATTCCATCTCGACTAGGTGCATGACAAGCATGAAAATAGTTAACACTCCAAAGCCAATTCCACTTCCAAGAGTAAGCACACGTCGGAGCGGGGCAAGGAACTTCAAGAGCTTGAGCGTTATGTCAAACACGGCAAGATTACAAGCAACGGACAAGATGAATGCGAGAGTCATAGAAAGAGTTCCCACCCACGTGACGTTAATGAGGGTGTAGACAAAACCAACGAAACTGAACAAGAGGGAAAGAAGAGCGAAGCTTTGGGTGTAGCTCCTGACCTTTGACCTGCTTGCGCGGATGAGGCTCCAGTTGATGACCACGAAAATGGCAATGACAATGAGCCAGTAGGCAAAATAGGTCGCCCACTCGATGAAGGTGGGCTTGTCCTGGTAACCGAATAGCGCTCGAAGCATGGCGAAGAATTCATTTTCGCCGTCATCACAGCAGAACTCGGTAGACCAAAGCGGATGGTTGTACCAGTCACGCACCTCGGGGTCTTCTACCTTCCAAGTGCCGAAGGCATCGATCTCTTGGATCTCGTGGAAAGCATGACTGACCAATCCAGCGGCGAAGCCGATGAGAATTAGTCCACTAATAGTGAAGAACTTAACAATGTCCAATTCCAAGAGACCCTTGAAGACGAGGTAGCTGATAGCAAGTCCTACAAGAAGAGCGAGAATTCCTGGCAAGGGAATGGCCTTCCAGCCACCCTGGTCATCCGCCTTAGAACTACCAATGAGGAAAATCACGGTCTCGATACCCTCGCGAAGAACCTGAACGAAGACCATGAGGAAAATTGATAGACGCCTCTTGGAATCGCTTTCGTCACTGTCGATAATGTTGTCGAGCTTCTTCTCCATGTTTGTTTGGAGAGCCTTGCCCATGGCCATCATCCAGATGATCATCCATGTGAGTAGGGCGGCGGCGATGAGGAAGGCAACGCCCTCGAAAGTCTTCTCAGCCTTACCTGCGAATCCTTGTTCTCCACTAATCCAAAAGGCAATACCAAGACCCAAACCGACGGCCACTGAAACAGCTACACCTGCACCAGCACCAATCCAGACCCATGTATTGTACTGAGTGGCACCGATCTTACTAAGGTAGGCAAGAACGATACCGACGACGAGGCATGCTTCCAGGACCTCTCGAAGCACAAGGAAGAACGCAGGAATGGAAAAGACCGTCATTTTGGGTTGTCGTGATCTTGAGGGCGTGGGGGCGAGCTTGAACAGTGGAGAGGGGAGGAACGACAAGTATAGCGGCGAGAAGAAGGAAGTTCGTTTAATAGTGAAAAGGCAGTCTCTTGTAATTACTGAGAACCGGGTTTATTAGGGTTGTTTACGCATTTGCAGTTTTACGGTGGTATGGGGGGGGGGGGGGGGGCGGCTGCGGCATTTGTTTTCCGGTGTTTGCACCCTGAACAGTATAATACAAAGGCTTGGGAGATGAGGGATAGACGGGGACTCAGCGAGCTCAACCTCTGTGGGTTGCGGTACTGTACTACAGTACACTGATGCAATCCTCATCATGGCGTTACCTGTGGCGTGATGCCGCGCGACTCCACGTGATGCCGTGCGACTTCATGCGGTTGTACGGCAGGTGGGTCGAGGTTTGCAAGCGACAAGGATACTGGCTGGCCGAAGCATTACTATTCAACCCGTCAATCTTGGACATGACGCAGGAAAGCAGGGTCATGGCCAAGGGTGTGAGGTGGAGCGAAAGGTGGAAGTCATTCGAGACAGACCAACGGGGCTTCCACCGCGGTGCGCTGTCAAGTGAGTGAGATTCTTGCGGATGAAGTGCAGCTGACCTGCGGCAATGCGCCGGCTTCCCGGCAGCGGATCCTGAGTTTCGTGCTTGCCCCTGCGGACCATGCCGCAACAGCGGCAACTTTATATGAAAACGATATTATTGACTTCAAGAGCGTGTTGCCTGGGTGTAATTCAACTGTTGATTGCACTAAACAGATCGGGCCAGTTTAATCACAAGGGCGACGACCCGCTGCTCCTACTGTGACCCCAGTCATAGTTTTTTCACGAAATCTAAAGGTACACAGTGCCATCTTTGTTAGTGCCAGCTCCGATATAGTGCTACCCTTCTGCAGGTGGCACGAATTTTGAGCCAAAAACGAAGGGTCTCCAGAGAGGCGTTTATGGCTGCGAAAAAGGAGGAAGTCAATGCGACGGCTCGGCAGCTATACTAATTTTGGAAATAACAGAAATGCTCAATTAGAGTTGAGTCTTTAGTGGAGATGTAAAGTATGAGTGATGGCTGTTGCGTCGAATTGCGCCCTGTGCACCTTTCCCTCTCCGAATTTTGCGCTGCGAAACCGTCGAGGCTCCACTTGTACTCTATGCAATAGATGCTCCACGCGTTACTTCCTATATGCGTTTTCCCTCGTCACTACCGACATCTTCTAGACTGATCTATCGCGCGCGTCTTCGGAATCTTATACCACGCCTGACTAGCTGCGGGCGAAGAGAGAGGGTAGCACTTCAGTAAACACCACCCACTTCGTATTCACACGACTTGCTCAACCCCTCACCCTGCGAGTGCATCTACGCATCCGGGCGCCTCGCTCTATCTCATACCTCACCCGTGCCTCTGCCACCACCGGCCCCTGGCACGAGGTCTTTACTCGTAACGTGCGCATCCCAGTTGCGCGTCAATGGCGTCCTGCGAGCGGTCTTTCTGAGCAGTGCTGCAAAAAAAGCCGTAAATCTCATTATCTTAATGGTGCCTAGTTTGATATAGTGCTGTTTTTGGCCCACTGCCACCGGGTAACACTATATTGCGACCCCCTGTACTGTAGTCGAAAGTTGCCCCTATTTCGACAGCCTTTCACCGCCAGCATGACCATTGTGTAGAAATGGGTCGCCCTATACCGTGCTGCACGCAAAACCACGAGACATGTTTTTGCTCCGCCTTGGAGAGCTTCGTTTTCTTATTTTTCTTCATTAATATTCAATCCTCAAAAAACTGTACAGCAATGTTCTGTCCATTGAATTGTCCATATCGATCGATCTCTCTTGTGATCGATCGGCTAGTTTGCCCCTTTTTCTATCGTTTGTAAACTGAGAGAGATCGCCCCTGCGCACAGCAAGAGCATGGCCGTACTGCGCAGGACATCTCTTTCTATCACTTTGTTCCGTATCATACTGTGCACGCTCTTACTGTACAGTACATGCTTTTACTGTACAGTAGTTAACTTGTTCCACACACTTCAGCGGCTCTGTAAGGCAACGTCTTTGTAAGCACTATCTTACAGTAATGGAATCGTGCTGGCGTCGTCGCTTTCTATGACCACCCGTTGCCTGCACTGCTTCCGGCAGCATCTCTTCTCGCTCTGCGTGTTCCTGTCCTCCTCGCGCCCCAACTCACGTCTTGGTTGGCCTGGAAACTTACCTTCCCAAGTGATCAACGGCATCTCGAGGCAGTGACTCTGTCAACGTCGAAAATCTTCTTGCTTCCCTCCCACTGTCACACATGATGGTGCGTTCCCTCCTTACATTTGTTCCGAAGCCACCCTTGCTTCTCTCCAACAAACCTATCCTTCCATTAACCGCTTTGGTATGTCGGCACCGATCCACCTGGCGGTGTGCCACAAATTCCCCAGCTCCTGGCCCTCCTTCCACACCTCTTGCCTCGACCAAATCCGCATCAACCCCGTCAGTCCACAATCACTATCGTCCTGCCCGTTGCGCCTCTATATCAAGACAAACCCGAGAAACCTCGGTCTCAGTCACGGTTGACCTCGACGGCACGGGCCAATGTGACGTTCAGACTGGCATCCCCTTCCTCGATCACATGCTTCATCAGCTCTCCTCACACGGTCTTCTCGACCTCCATATCCGCGCCGATGGCGATTACTGGATCGATGATCACCACACCAACGAGGATGTCGGCATCACTCTCGGTATGGCTATCGCAAAGGCTTTGGGTGATAAAAAGGGTATTCGAAGGTTTGGTCATTTCGTCGCCCCGCTGGATGAAAGCCTGATCGAAGTGGTTCTGGATTTCTCTGGGAGACCTCATGTCGAGTATGGGCTACAGATTCCTACTGAAAAGGTTGGCAAGTACGATACGCAGCTTGTCAGGGAGTTTTACATGGCAGTCGCTGGCAATGCTCAGATGACGCTTCACGTTAACCAGCGTGCTGGGTTGAACAGCCATCATATCATTGAGGCTAGTTTTAAGGCGTTCGCGAGGGCAATGCGAATGGCTGTTGAGCTCGATCCGAGAAGGTTGGACTCTATTCCCAGCTCCAAAGGTGCTTTGACTGATGACGTTGCTCTTCAGAATTGATGCACCTCTCGCCTCGTGATAGCAGTTGTCTACCAACTTTGTACAATGACATCATCTTCATCCCTCTTACATACAAGCCAAGAGACTGGGAGTCGTTTTTGAAATTTCCTTTCATCTTGTTCTTTCACAGGCTCCAGTGCAGAGGCAACGCACGCCCTGACGACTCTTTGTTCCCGTTCATGAGTAGCGCTCTGTAGCTATCAACCAATCAGCTACTTTTTCTGCACACACGGCTGATACCTCATGAAGCCCCTGTACAACTCGCATCACTTGCACGGCCGCACGCCTTGAATCACGGCTTCTCCAAAAGGCCACAATTTCTTCGTCAGAGGAAGTCTTCATCGCGTGCTCTATCTTGTGATACTGACCGTGCGTTGCAGCCTCAAAGATTTTCCGCGATATCTCTGCCGAAATTCGTGGCTCCCTGTGGTGCAACGTTGTCGGCATGAGTTGGACCTTCGGCATTGTCAGTTCGCCGACCATGGGTACATTGCGGGTAAGCAAGGCCCTTCTTGCTAATGCGATGGCTGATGCAGACGCGTAGTGACGGTCAGTCGTCAAACGCACAAAAAGCGTGCTCGGGTATGATTTCGTGGCATTGTTCAGGGCACGTTGGCTGCCAGGGGATATGTATAAGGCCTGACCGACCATACTCGGCATTTCGTTCGAAGAGGATAGAATAGATAGCATGGTCGCGCCTGACGATATCCCAACAGCGTATATTGGGGCAGTCGATGGAATGGTGCGGTCAACTCTCCAACGCTTTGTTGCTATCATTACCCGGGAGACATCTTCATTTTCCCAGTGTGGATACCTTGTGCTCCAGCACCCTGTGACGCGGTTCGAGGAGGTTACTGCAAGTAGAGCAAGCCTCTTACGGAGGAGGTGTGCAGCTATGTGTCGATGCTCAGGAAGTTGGAACCAGTCACTGGCCTGTTGTCGACAGCCATGTATCAAAAGAGCTATGCCTCGCAGTCTCCGTGCCGGAAAAGGGTTATGGAAGGCAACATTAATCCCGTTGATTTCTCCCGTTTGGTAAGTCTTCTTATCTTTGCTCGAGTCCACGTCGAAAACCAGCTCGAATCGTGGCCTAGACGGAAGGGATGGCGATGTGTCTGTACTGAGATAGTGACGGCCAAGTGGGGACCAAAATCCTTGAAACCAAAGATCCAGTTTTCTTAGGAATCTGGAAACTGTCAGTGCAGCGGAAGTTGGCGGCTGTGTTGAAAACGAAGTTGTTTCACTTTCGCTCATCGCAGTAGGGAAGGAATCTTGCTCATTTTCAGAGTTGAGGTTGCGAATCTTCCCATGATGTCGCTCGCTCGAAGCAGTGACCGGAAGTTGATTATTTCCTAACCGGAAGGTTAGGCCGAGGATCAAAGCGCAAATGCCGAACAAAAGAATGATCTGCAGGTGCTCGCGAGAAGCCATTTTATGAGGTCTATGTCAGCGAGTTCTCGCAGTTGAAGTGCAGGAATGCGGACGATGTCACGATCTGTCCGCTGTAATCATATTTGTGCGTACTGCTTGGAGATTGCAGTTGAGCTGTGTTCAGCCAAGGAAGGCCTGCGACAATTACCGCTCTCACATTTGTCGTACTGTACAGGCGGAACGAGATCTGTTAACTGATGTACATATTCCCGGCCTGGTTTCATTATGATGCCTGCTTCTGCTGTTCGCAGTCTTCGCATTGCAGTGGTTCGTGTCACCGGGACGAGGAACCAGCTGGGCGCGAACGTGTTGAGGCTTAGTTGAATTGGAAGCGCATTTAATTTTTTTTACCAGCACAAATGACCAGGTCGGCAGAGGAACGGCGCAACGCAGCATGTTTGAATCGACCGGTGCGAAGCTAGCGTATCGAATTTTGTCCAAATAGAGCATCAGACGTAGTTGTGGAATCTCTGTTCAACTGCAAAGATTTTTGGCTTCAGAAAATGCATGCGAACGCCACCCATCGATGTTGAATGCGATCGTCATTGCGCCACCTCCGGGATAGGGTTTTGAGCTTATTTTTCAGAATTATGGAAGTCGCAGGGACGACGTGGTTGGAAGTTGAAAAGACGCATCTTTCATAACAAAAGATATCTTGTCTTCCTGCCAGACTTGTGCATCTTCTGAAATTCGGTCTTCCGCACGTGGGTGTTCTTACAAGGGCATGGGCGGGACGACGTTTTTCGGCCTGAGGAGTAACGTGATGTCAGCTAGTCTCCCAACTTGTGCGAGCTCCTCAGAGGACCTCTTGCACATTTTTACAAAGTCAGCGTCAGCAAAATATGCGTTGTCCCTAACAGTTTGCTACCTCCCATATCGGACAAGCATTATGCACATTTACGCGCGAGTCGGCTTTCCCGTGCCGGCTTGCTCCTGAGGTGTGCAACATAGAAGCGGATACGTCTTAGGACTTAAGCCTTTGGGTACGCACTTTTCTGTAGTCGTCACCCGGGCCCATTTTCCCAACACAGTCGAGTATAGGCGCTAGCAGCAGGCTGCACAGGAGAGATTTGAAATTCCGTATTAGTGGCTTGCTCCAATGGCGCACGGATTCTTGCACCTGTTATATTGCCGTATTCCCGTGTGATTAAGAGCGCGGCGGAGGGTTCCTGTCATTAGTAGCGAATTAGTGAGTAGCCAGACCTTGTAGGTCAATCCAATGAATCAAATCGTGCATATTTGCAGGTAGGGAAAGAGCGATCCACAGCATGTACTGCTCCCCCTGGCAAGCATAGCAGTAGGGCGAGATGGCGAAGGTGCGCGCCCGTACCTAAGAACGCTATCAGGCGTAGAGTTGCATCCTTGATTACAACCTTGAGCGCAGTAACCCTTTGGAATGAATCACTCTGTTGGTCATCCGCGAGCAATAGAAAAGGTCCCTACAGTAATACAATGGGAGGAAAGATCTGCCGAGTGCATTTCAGCAACGTGAGACTTGTTTCTCCTGGAGGATTCTCTTTCAGCCAAGCAATTGGCGAAGGCTCTTGGGGAACAATGCAACCGCAATTCCCGCACCAGTCATGCGATGGGCAATATAAAGAACGTATTCTCAGAACTTGCAAACCGTTGCGGTGTTGCCATGATTTAAGTGTGGATAGGAATGAATGGAAGAGCACAATCGAAATGCAAAAAAAGCCAAATACGTGAGAAACAGTCTCTATTGCTGCTGAGCACTCTCCGACCGCGGCATCGTCTCTTGTACCTCCATAGCGTTTTACGCCGGTATTTTGACATTCCTAACATCTGCGAACAGCAATCGCGCAGCGTATCGTCTGGACACGGGTATGGTACACTCGCCCTCGATTGTAACATTGCCCAGTTCTGCGGCCGTCGTATCAGGTCGTGTTCTCTAATTGGTCTGAGAGACTATGTTCTTCACCAAGTCGTCGGCCGTCATGCGGTCAACGATTGGTTCGGTAGCTGCCGGGATCACCCGATCCACAACGCCCCTTTATGCACAAAGACAAATCCAGCCATCAAGATCCACTACCGTGATAGCCGTACGCAAGGATAATTCAGTAACGGTAGTCGGTGATGGACAAGTCACTCTGGGTGCCACTGTTGTCAAGCCAAATGCTCGCAAAGTTCGCAGGCTTGGTTCAGAAAAGAAAGTCATTGCTGGTTTCGCAGGCGCCACAGCGGACGCGCTCACGCTTATAGATCGACTGGAGGGTAAGCTCGATGAACATCCAGATCATCACGATCAGCTTTTGCGGGCTTGCGTCAGCTTGGCCAAAGATTGGAGGATGGATAAGTATTTGAGAAGGCTCGACGCTTCGTTGCTTGTATGCGACGAATCCATATCTCTGTATGTCACGGGCACGGGAGATGTTTTGGAAAGCCCCGACGGAATCATCGGAATTGGTTCTGGGTCTTCCTACGCTATTGCGGCAGCGAGAGCACTGCTGCCAATTGACTCCATGTCAGCGGAAGACATTGCAAAGAAAGCTCTTGCAATAGCTGCAGACTTGGACATTTACACCAACCACGGTGTTATCTCAGAATCCATTTCCACGACTCCCCCGCATGCGGAAAAGAAAGACGACTCATAGCAAAGTAAACTCCAGCTTTTGAAGGCCCCAGTTATGCATTCGATTTTGCTGCGTTTTTACTTTCGCGTTATTGCGCTTTTCCATTCGTCTGGTGCTATTGACCGACTCAGGCCGGTCTTAGACGAACGAAACAGGAGCTTCCCGAGCCTCGCGTCGAATTGAACACGCTCATGCATTGAGGTGCCCTGCGAATTGTAAATTGATCGCCCTCGCAACAAGGTGCGGAGCACAATGCCCCGCACCTTAAGTCCATGGTATGGCGACAGTTTATGGCGATGGTGACATTTGTCCTCAGTTAGTACTTGGGATGATTCTGGGTCCCAAATGACAATATCAGCGTCGAGACCAGCCTTCAGGAATCCCTTCATATTGTCAATGCCAAAGAGTCGTGCGGGCACTTCACAAAGCAACTCTGCCACTCGACTCAGGCTGGCGTTCATCGCATGAGCTGCTGTCCAAGTAGCTTGCAGCCTGTACTGCAGCCCGGATATGCCACCCCAAGCCTCAGTCAAGTTACCGTCCGTGGTCTTGAGTTCTGGGGGGCACGGAGAGTGGTCTGACGCAATCAAGTCAATTGCTCTTGAACTTGCATCATCTTGAAAAGCCTGATGTACTATAAGCTTACGATTATCGTCCGAGCGAATTGGAGGCGAGCACTTGAAGAGAGTTCCTCCCAAAGCGATTTTTTCTTTTGCCCACATCAGGTAATGAGGACATGTTTCGGCGGTTACAATCGCCTTTTTCAAGCGATTGCCCCACCGGATTTCACGCAATAGCTCAAGAGCCTCGAATGCAGACACATGCGCTATATGAATGTGAACGTTTGAGTTATTCGCTATATCAGCGGCGTAGCGGATAGCTTCTACTTCCCAAGAAGAAGGACGAGATGCTTCGTAGTCACTGTAGCATCTGTGATTGTAGTCTGAAGCTCGTCTGTTTCGTTCATCTTCTTCATCAGGGCCTAAATCAAGCTCCGCGTGCAGAATATAAGGGATAGGTTTAGAAACTGCACCTGGCTCCGATGACAGCCGGTCCAACGCACCAATAATTTCTTTCAAGTTCTTCTTTGAGACATTTGGAAAGTCTTTTGATTGCGAGTCCACCATGAATGATTTGAAAGCCAGTACACCACCATCCAGCAATTCTGTCAAAAATGGAACATGAGGCATTGTGATCCCGCCGATGATTCCAATATCAACATAGGACTTTGTCGATGCGAGAGCATTTATCTTTTGAGCTAGGGTTTTGTGGTTTAAGGTTGAAGGAATGTTGTTAAGGGGCATATCCAAAATGGTTGTTGTTCCTCCCGCTGCAGCCGCTCGAGATGCATATTCAAATCCTTCCCAAGAGGTTCTTCCTGGTTCATTAACATGGACATGAGGATCGATAAGACCCGGCATGACCACGTGTGGGGAAACATCAACTATAGTTTTCCAAACCAATGACCATGAAGGAGACTGCTGCACTATCGCAATGGAGCCCTGATTGTTTATAAATATGTAGGCAGGCTGGATGAATCGATCAGGAAGTACAACTCTTGATGAGAATAATACGTACGGTGGCTCGGGAAAGCTTGCTGGGTTGTTCAGCACCGTTCCAAGTTTTGCTCGTTGAAGAGACAGATGTGCGTATGGAAGCAGTGAACTCCAATGCGAATATAAAATAGGCACGAGAATTGCAATGATCGGCATAAAAAGAAGAGAGACGGCTGTGCAAACGATATAGCTGTGATGGAAACTAGAATTCCGTTCTCCTGACCTGGCTCTGCCGAAAGCAGGTGTTGCCTCTTCTGGTTCTGTCATGGATAGTGCGCGCTTCAGTGGGGAGCAGTGATAAAACGACAGAAAGGTTCGTGCAAAGCGCTCATGGCTAATTATGCAAAGGGATGGCTTTGTGCAGATAGAGCGATAGAGGTGTTTAGGTGCAAGTATAGGCAGACTGCGTGTGGGAGCGAGATTTGAAGTGCACTTGCAACACGGTGCTTTACACACTGTACAGTTGTACTACTGTACGGTAGTACTGTACCCTGCCGCACCCTGCACGCACGTACCCGTCCAAGCACAAGAGAGAGAATACACCATTCTGATACAGTATACTGTACCCAAGGGTACTGTGCGTATGAAGTGGGTAACGCAGTACAGGGGACCCTACGCATTAGTGCCGCCCCGTGTGAGACCCCAAAAACGGCACTATTGGGAGGGTGGCATTAGTAAGTGACGCCGTCACATCCATTTACAGGCACTCGGAAATTAACATCTGCCTGATCGGCGTTGGTTTTCTATCATGTTTTGCAGTGAGAAACGCGCGCTTTGCTGACCTTGGATGCGATAAAGCGTCTGAAACTTGGCACTCAGATGCCAGAAGTTCCAGATCTCCAAACAATTCCGCGATTTCCAGCGCAGAGGGTATAGCGCTTCTTCCTATCGTATCCCCAGCGCTCTCATCTTCATCACTTGATTGTGTTTCAGGTGGATTCCGCACCGCACGCACTGCGTCGAGGTAGCAGCTTGAAAAACAGGCCTGTTTCGTCGACATGTAGATGTTCTCTGGGTCGAAATTGCGCAAACGTGATCGCAGGATGTTGATGTCTTTTGCGACTTCCTGCACTTGTACTTCCCCTCCCTCCCCGTGCAGGGCTACAGAACGAAGATGTCGCTTGACAAATTTCTCTACATCCACGAGATGCTGTGAACTTGTCAAGCGTGGTGCGATCTTTACCTGTCACCTGAGACTTGAGCATTTGTTCCTTAATCATGAGGGCCCGCGTTTGTAGGACAGTTTGTGTTACTGGCATTTTTGCTGATCTGGCATAGTTGAGAAATTCAAGGAGCTTCAGTTCGAGATGGGGGACCATAATGGACTAACGGGTCTTCGCTTGAAGTGACTGGGGCTTCTGGTTGGCTACGCGGAGCAATGCGGGAGCAGTTGCCTTGATGTTTCGTACGGTCCGCTCGGCAATGCCGAACTGTCGCATAACGGCTGTGGTACGGTATCCATTGTCGAGCAGATCTGCGATTTCGAGCTTCTGCGATATGGTCAGACGCTTGCGAGTCGCTTTCGTCTTTTCTGGAACCGGAGCCATAACGACTACAAGCTAAAGTCGGTGGACGGTGTGCAGTAGCTTGAGGAGGATCGGGCTAAAAAGGGCTTTTTGTGTTTGACACGGACGGGAGACAGCCTAACAGCTGGACCCGTATAACACGTGGCACTTTTCGTGTTCATGCGTCCCGGGGTGCACTAATGGGAGGGTGGCAATAATAAAAGCGGCACTAATGCGAGTCCCCCCCCTGTACCGATCCCTTCGCCATGTGATAAAGAGAAGAAAAGATTCCTTCGCCATCAGAGTATCCGGGCTGTTTGCGGCAAGCATTGGAGGAACCCGTGAAGAAATCATCGACGGAAGATTCGACTGAGGACTTGAGCTTGTGTTACGACACCTAAAATTGTTCTGGCCTCCAAATGGAACAAAGTCTCGTTTGTATGCTACGGTACATGCTGCTACGCTTTCTGCACTCAACCCCGCAGTAGTCAGAGAAGAAAACCCGAAATTATTATCTCATAACCCAGTGGCAACTGTTTGGCTCGCGATCGGATTAGTCTCTATGTGAAATGTATTGTAGACGACTAAAAATCTGTACCTCAAAAAAGAGGCTCGACTGGCCGAGCTTGGTTCTCTGTTTCTTCCAGAAGCTGTTCCAATTTGTCTACGACCAAGACTTCTCGACCCGTTCAAAATGACTACCTGATGATTAGTATGGCCTGTATCATACTCTTTGAAAATATGTGGAACCGCCAGCTGTTGTGGACGGCGTAGTAAGATGGCTTTGTCTACTGAGCTGTGGAGGCTACGCTCTTCTCTGCAAGTAGGACAACGAAGGAAGGATTGAATTCTGACATGCACAATTTCTTATACCTATCCAAATCCGGCGCAAGCGCTTAAAACCCTCACCCATCCCAGTTGCAGATTAACTTGACTTCAAAGCTCAAAACCAGAAGGAAGGTCCCGGTGCTACTTAAAGAGTGCCTCTATTTTCTTTACAGATCGCAGAAGCGACTGAGTCTACTTGGAAACAGGCGGAGATTCATTGCCAGATTTGGCATCTTGAACGATTCCGTTGACAGTGTCAGGTAAGCCTAAAAGACGACCATGTACGTTATCCACACTTGAATTCCACCATTGGCTAAACCGACGGAAGATGAAGCCTTCAAAAGAATCCGCCTATGTATGTTGAACCGAGTAGAAGTGTGAGAGAATGGAAGAAATTGTTAGTACCATCAAACGACGCTCAAGAACTACCAATTCCGGTAGGTAGCAAAGAAAGAAAACGTACAAGTCTCCGTTTCGGTGCAATCACAGAATGAGCTTGCGAACGACCCGCTAATTCGTCCAATTGCTGCGATTGATCCTCAGCAGCTTTCCAGAGTGCTCTATGAACTGCAAAGGCCGCCGCGCAGGAAGAAAAAAAACCCGCAGTACCGGATAGAAGGATATCACGCATTGAAGGACAGATAGAAAAGCCTGAATGGAGATGTCGGTTAAGAGCGCGTAACTCTTAGGCTGATCGGATCTGTTCGTGGAAATAATGAAGAGAGCGCAGCAATGCACAATTCTCTTGTTTTCTTTGACGAGAAATCTGAGGAGAGCACGGCGTGATGGTCGGGAGCGCTCTAAAACCACTCCTTCAGCGGATGAGCGGATGTGCAACGCGGCGAATATGTTGACACGGCGTGGACGGTTCTGCAGTGAATGTATTCGTCCCCGCTGTTGGCGTCAAGAACAACACGTCTAGAGCACACGTCTGTGTGCGTGTGTTTTTTAAAACCTCTTTAGGACTTCCATTCAAGTGTTAATTTTGTAATTGAAAAATCGCAATTGCTCTACATCTTCTGAGCGAGGCCTGGTAGACCGGAGACTGCGTCCTGTCATATTGTCGCCTTCGTCACATTCCCAATCGGCAAGTTGATCTCCCTCCTCATACCGTCTTCAAGCGGACTCTTTAACGACCTTATCATGACTCTACAGCGGTCCATCTAGCACTCATACGGAATTATTCATCAGTCGTGATGCCGGCCGCTTTTTGCAGCTCCGCGCTCGCATTAACTTCCCGTCCCATCTTGCCAGTGCGCGTCCTCTCCTCCTTCCTGACCTCGCATCGTTTGCTAACAAGAACAGTTTCACCATATCCCCTTCGAAAGAGCCGCTCAAAATTTTTAAATCAAGCTTCACGCACGTTTGCCTGTGCACCACCCCCAGGCGAAACCCCGAGCATTTCGACCTCGCTGCCAACGAATGAAACAGCTTCACATACGACCGCTTCCAATATCATATCGCTGGGAGAGGATGCAATTGAGTCGCTTCGGGCTCGCTTTAATGAACTAGACCCCCAGGATGTCATCGCGCAGGAAAAATTAATCCTTTCAACCTTTCCCTTTAAGCTGGACAATTTTCAAACATCAGCGCTACATTCCCTAGCGAATGGAGAGAGTGTTGTCCTCTCTGCACCAACTGGTGCTGGGAAAACAATTGTTGGCGAAATGGCTGTCTACCTTGCTTTATGTCGACGATTACGAGTTTTCTACACCACTCCGCTAAAGGCGTTATCTAATCAAAAGTTTTATGACTTCAAAAAGCTTTTCGGCGAGCGTCGAGTTGGCTTGCTCACAGGCGATGTCACAGTGAATCGCGACGCAGATGTTGTTGTCATGACGACCGAAGTTTATCGAAATATGCTCTACGCAGACTCCACCGAAGTTGTTAGTTATCGGTCTGTTACGGATGACCTCTTTGCAGTCGTCTTTGACGAGTTTCACTACCTTAATGATCGCGACAGAGGTACAGTCTGGGAGGAGAGCGTCATTAACAGTCCAAGTCACGTCCTGCTTGTCGCCCTTAGCGCCACGATGTCGAACACAGCAGATGTGAAAGATTGGTTTTCGAACGTCCAGGGAGGCACAGCTTTGATAGAATCCAGCGTGCGCCCCGTTCCACTGAAATTTGGGTACTGCGACCAACAGGGGATGACTCCTTTATTTGCAGACGATACTAGGAAGACTGGCCATAAACGTGGTTTTGGGCGTCGCGGAAGAAAGGGAGGTGGCAACTCTGAGCGCGACGTGAAGCTTCATCCGAAGTTGCTTCGCCGCGTAAAGGACTTGAAAGATGTGCGCGACAGGAACGGCAGAGCACAGAGAAATAGAGGCGATTCTCGAGATGGCATTGAAGTTATGAAGGGCAAATATCACGAGATCGCTACTAGAAGCAAGAAACGTTCACGAGATCGCTACGCTGAGATTCCGTCATTCCCATATGTTGTGCGAAATCTTTCAAGGAATGACATGCTTCCTTGTATCATATTTATATTTAGTCGCGCAGGCTGCGATCGCGCTGCGGTTGCGGCTTCTTCGGAACGAACAGAGTTAGTGTCCGTCAAGGAACGCGAAAGGATCCGAGAGAGACTGGATGCTTTTGTAGCAGAGCATCCCGGATTGGTGCAGGCTGACCGTCTAAACCTTGCACTTCAAGGCATTGCGAGCCATCACGCCGGCCTTTTGCCGCTTTGGAAACTATGCGTCGAAGAGCTATTTCAAGATGGACTCATCAAAGTTGTTTTTGCGACTGAAACGCTAGCGGCAGGTATCAATATGCCAGCTCGCACCACTGTTATTTCGTCGTTGTCCAAACGCGCCGGTGATGCAGGTATTGTTTCTCTTACAACCAGTGAGGTGTTGCAAATGGCGGGAAGAGCAGGTAGGCGCGGTAAAGACGTTCTTGGGCATTCTGTAGTTCTGCGATCCCGTAACGAGGGTGCATTGGAAGCATTTAAGGTGTTGACAGCTGACGTCGATGCATTGCAGTCAAAATTTACACCTAACTACGGAATGGTGCTCAATCTTCTGTCTGCTCGGCCGTTAGAGGATGCAAAGAAGCTAGTTGATAGGTCCTTTGGCAACTTTCTGCGAGAGAAGCAGCTTAACGAAGTTGCATACCAATCAACAGGGAATAGGTCTCTTCCTGGCAACATTGAGGCAATTGTCAGGGAAAAATTGGCGCTTGAGTCCGTCTTGGAGGAAGCGAGGACAATTGTATCCTCGGTTGATGAGAAGCAGTTGAGAACTTATGTAAAAAGCTTGGAGAGAGTCAAGGCGGAAAAACGCGCTTTATCGTTTTTGGTTCAACAAAGCATTGAAATGGATGATGAACTTATCGAAGAAACTCTAACGTTTGCGCCAACTGGAACGAAGCTCTTGCTGAGAGAGAAGAAGCCCGGAAGGTCGACTGGATCGCAAAGGCGGCAGAAGCGTCGAGGATACTCTGCCGCCCTCGCCGCAGCAGCAGATGGAGATCTGGGCGCCGAACTGAGGTCATTTTATTTGAGCTCGTCAGATTTAGAACTGGAAGGCATCGACAACGTCGAGGCGGAACAAACACACGGTGTTGTGGAAGCAGTTCTACTGGACATGCACAATGAGTCGGTTGGAATTTTGCCTATGTTCGCAGCTGTGGATGCCAACGGATATCTCCGAATATTCAACCAGAACGCTGTCTCAAGATTGTTCTACGATGAGGAAGCCATAGACGTCGCCATAGAAGCTCCTGCTTGGAATGAAGTGACTCTGCCCGGACGCAGTGAGTGGGACTCAATTAGCGGGGAGCAATTTACCGCCCCATTACCGATTGGATTGGAGCGTATTGTTGAAATAGTGAGGGACTGGCGTCAAGAACGAGCCCAGATGAGTGGGTCTCAGGCAACTGCTACGCCCCCCAACTCAAACGACCACCCCCCAGAAGTTTTTGCACAACGGGAAAGAGTCAGTCACGCTAAGCGAAAGGTGGCAGAACAAGAACTTCACGGAAATGAAGATGTAGCAGTCATTCTGGCAGCTAGACGTGCGATCCCAAAAATTCAGGCTACGTTGGACGGGAGCATGGATCCTTTCGGTACGAAAACAAGAAAAAGTAAACGAGAGGGTCCTTCCAAGCGCTACGCTACTATTCAAGGCAATGGACGTGACGACAGTAATCAAATCAAGGCGAACGAGGAGACCATGCAAAACAGCAGTTGGGAGGAGTTCATGGCTATAGTTTCAGTTCTTCAACATTACGGTTTCGTTGATGACAATTACGACGTCACCAGTATCGGGAGCATAGGAGCAAAGGTGCGATCCGAAAATGAGCTTTGGAGCAGCCTGGTACTTCTGCAGCCATCTCTTGAACATGTCTCACCAGTTCACCTCGGAGCCATCTTAGGAGCGACACAGATGGAGTCAACCAGACCAGATACTTACATGAGCTACGAAGTTTCTCCGGCCACAAAAGAAGCAGTTAGAGAAGCAGCTGGGGAGAGAGTGCGACTCTTTGCAGTGCAATCCGAAGCGAATGTGTTCATTCCCATTTCTCTAGATGCAGACTTGATGGGGTTGGTGGAGGCATGGGCCAGTGGTATAAGTTGGGTGGAGCTCTTGAGCGGAACGTCTTTACAAGAAGGAGATGCTTGTCGCATACTGAGACGAGTTCTTGATTTGCTCCGACAAGTCCCGTACTTGCCCGTAGTGTCGGAGGGTTTAAAGAGAAACTCAAAGCGGGCTGTGGCTCTCCTAGATCGCTTTCCCGTGACAGATGATCGTACATATGTTGTCCGCGACAGTGAACGGCTCGATGGGTCTAGTGGTTAGAGTGCTAGAGAGCACAAGTAGTCAGTCTACCAACGCGTCCGCTTCTGCCCTCATTCTGCGTCATTCTGCGCCATTCTGTGTGAGAAGCAGAAGGAGGCTGGCGGTTGTCGAGTCCCTTCTTGTGGCTTGTTAGTCTTATGGTTTACCCAGTGGAGGACTTGTTTTATTCGTTGTTGAGAAGGGCTCCGCGAACGTGTCCAATTGCGGTATTCCTGTTAGCGAGTGAGCTGTGCTATATCGCCAATCTTTGCGAACACGCTGGGTGACTCGCTCATGAGCACTTCTTTTGCCTGGTTTGTGGATTTAAATGCTTTAACGTCCACCCTTATTCGCGGTTTTATATATCCGAGACTTTCGAATTTGTTGCCAAAGATTGCAGGACGGTCAATACCTTCGTTTGATAACTTGTTGCATACATAAGTTGTCGCCCTGCTGAAGACAGCAGTGAAAATTTTGTTGAGTCCTAGTGGAAGAATGCCGCAATGGACCAGATAGGGTGGTGGAACTGACTGTGGTCATAGGTACCCCCAGTTACCACATGTTTGTGAACGAAGATGAACCACATGAGTCTAATCCTGAGTGAGATGTGGCATAAGCATCCTATACATTCATCCCCTTGAAGCGACTGTACTTGTCGGAGTGCGCCCTCGTGAGGTCAAGGACGCGTACAAAGTCACGGTTCACATCGATAATACTACGCAAGGTGCTTTCGAGAAATCGCAGTGTAGATGCACTGCTCCGAATGGTTGCGGGTTTACTCAAACCGTCTGCATTTTGTGCTTGGAAGGGTTTCTGGCCTTCGATATTTGTACATCTTGCGGAATAAAGACGTCTCCGCAGAAAGGTTTCAACGAGCCCATAGCCTGACAGGGTCCGAAGAGGGCAAGTCAACAACAACGCCAGCGTTCTCGCTGTCTCCTCTGTTTGCAACTCACTCGTGGCGATGACAGGTTCCAGAAGGCGAATCACATGAACGGCAGTTTCTTCAGACAGTCTGACTTTCTCACCGCCTCCCTTCCACCTTTTTTCGAGGGCAGATTTGACAAGAGCCCCAGCAGCGCTCATCTGCACGACGGCATCTGTGTCCTGGACTAGCAACTCGAATAGTTCGAAACATGCGTACATGAGCTTCTCACCTCCTTCTCCGGCGGCCGATGCACTTCCCCGAGCGGCAACCGCAAAAAGCACATGGCTAACGGCGGCGCGGACACGAAAAGAATCGTGCTCCGCCATATCGCGAATGACAGCGTATGAGTCGCGGTGACAGAAAACGTCGTTGCGATCCTGGTGGGCTGGGGAAGCGCAACCTAAGATGCCAAGGAGATGGTCAAGAGCGAAATTCCCTTTATGTGAAGCGAGGATAGTCCCTAAGGTGTGCAGGACCTCCAAGACAACATCCTCGTCGCTCTCTACGGCGAGGAGCGCGAGCAGATCGTCAAACGCATCCGGCACAGGCACGGGTTGTTGGTCGGTCGACGCACATCGTCGGGCAGCGTGCAGACGGACTGTGGGATTGGAATCAAATAAGGCGAGGGCCGTGGCAGTGGGGGGGCAGAAGCGATTTTTTACGGCTGCAAGACGGACGGAGGGGTGGGGATCTGCTTGTGAGACCGCATGAAGGAGGGCTGAAAAGCCAGCGATGTCGCAAGCCGGGAGCGAGGATAGTTGTTCGGTTAAGTCCTGAAGGGCGGCTTGGCGGTGGTCAGGGACGGAAGAGCAAAGCTGGTGTTGGAAGTTAGCGAGAGAAAAGGACATGGAGAAGAGGTGGACGAGAAGGCATGGCGGAGAGGGGGGAGGGAAGAAGACTAGGGATCAGGTTGATGCGGAGGCTGTGAGGGATACGACTGCGGACACTCAAGGCTGGGCATGGGCGTGTCATGGACGTGACGGTGTCCAGCAGTGCGGGTGGGGTTTGATTGGGTGTGGTGGGGCGTGCTTGGTTTCTGCGATTTGCTCGAGCTCGCTTGGCCAACAATGCCTGGGCCAATAGAACGGCACACACAAGACTCGGCCAGGCGCGTGGCCAACGGGAAAGACAATTTTTGCGGTGGGCGAGTGCCGAGCAATGCAGTCCACAGGGACTGCATGGCGACTTGGCCTGTCGCACAGCCACTTGCCTCTGATCCCAAGCAATAAGAGAGAGAGCTACCGAGGTGATGTCCTCGCCGGCGTTCCAGAATTGCCTTGCCGTTTACCCTTTCGCCCTCTCCTTTCCGACCGCAGCACAGCCAACAAAGCACCCAACCTCGCCTCGCACCTGGCCCTGCCGAACGACTCCCTTCTACCAGACTCCCGTAAAGTGTGGCCCCATCATGGCGCTCTCGCTCGACAAAGTCGTGCTTGTGGATATGGACAACACTCTGGTTGACTTTGACCTGGAATTCGGCAAGCGCTGGGTCGCCGAGCGCCCGTCGGACAGCTTGGACCTAATCAAGCAGCGCGAACATTTCGAGCTTGAACAAAATTTTTCCGCCGACCTCAAACCACTCGCAATCAAGATCATGTCTCAACCCGGTTTCTTCATCTCATTCGAGCCGCAACCGTATGCTGTCGAGGCCATCAAGGAGATGACGGCCGCTGGTTTACACGTCCTACTCTGCACGGCTCCCCTACCGTTTCAATGGGAGACATGCGTGGCAGAGAAATACGCCTGGGTGCGTCGTCACTTGGGGGAGGAGTTTCTCACCAGGATTATTATTACTAGGGATAAGACGGTCGTGAAGGGGCGCGTGTTGATAGACGATAAGCCGCGCGTGGCGGGGGCGTGCGAAAAACCGGAGTGGACGCACATTGTCTTTGACCAGCCGTATAATAGAAAGGTTGAGGAGCAACCAAGGCTTAAGAGCTGGAGGGATTGGAGGCCAGTGTTGCAGAACCATTTCGAGCTGTAAGACGTCAGAAGAGTACTGTACACGTGTGCGAAAAGGGGGTTGTTCTTATTGGAGGAGTGGTCCCACACACGTGGCGAGGCCCGAATACACCGCCCCAGGAGGCGGCAGTGTCAGCTGCAGTTCACTCCTCGTGAACGGCTCCAACGTGCGCTCGTTGCGGCCGGATGGAGCACGTCGTGGTATAGTACAGTAGCATACACGTAATCGCTGTGCGCCATTTTTGCTGGTTTTTCGCTTAATTGCGCCCCCCCGTCCCCCCATTCCCTAATCGAACAACAAATCCTGCCTCGCTCGATAACGTTCACAAACGCATAAATTACCACTTCCCTCCACCAGCCCCCAAGTCTCTCCAACGCACGCACTCATTTCCACCCGCCCGCATCCTGTCTTCGCCCGAAACGAACCTCCCAACAGAAACAGAAACAACACCACTCCCACCATGGCAACTCTTAACCAGCACCACGTCTACGCCGGCGTCCCCAATACCACCCGCGGCGAGCCTTCCCGCATTTCCGCAGACCCCACCGGCACCACGGACGACATCGTATACGCCTGTGGTCGCGTCGCCGTAGTCCGTTCCGCCTCCGCTCCGCTTAAGGCACGCATTTTCTCGCTTCACACGGCTCAAGTCACAGTCGTTGTCTACTCACGTGACGGTTCCCTCGTCGCCTCCGGCGACGCCCACGGATTCATTCGACTATGGGATCCGAAGACCGTTGCCCAAAAGTCGGAAATCTCCGCCATGGCCGGCCCGGTCAGAGACATTGCCTTCGACCACGCCGGAAAGTTCCTCGCTTGCGTCGGTGATGCCAGAGGCTCGTATGCAAAGGTCCTGAAGCTTCCCACAGGTGGTGCAGCCGGGGCTTGCCAAGGTCATACCAAGCGTGTCATAGCCTGTGATATCTCCTCCAAGAAGCCTAGTTTTGTGGCCACGGGCAGTGAGGACATGTCTGTCGGTCTATTCAAGGGCCCCCCGGTCAGAGATATCGACACGCCTAAGTTTTTGCGTCATCACACGGCGTTTGTGAATGATGTCCGCTTTTCACCAGATGGTACCAAGCTCGCCCTCGCCTCTTCTGACAGAAAGGCTACCATCGTTGATACTGGATCAGATGAGATTATCGCCACTCTCGAGGGCCATGCTGCCTCCGTTACCGGTCTCTCTTGGTCGGCAGATGGCTCGAAGCTTCTCACTTCGGCGAATGATAAGACCACCAAGATGTGGAGCGTGCCCGATGGTAAGTGCCTCAGCACTATCACGTACGGAAATAATGTTATGGACATGCAAGTTGGCTGCACTCTTTTACCGAAGACGGACGAGATTGTTTCGGTCTCCTTGCGGTCCGAGATCTTGATCACCAATCAATCTGCAGACAAACCAAAGCTAGTTCTTAGAGGCCATTCAAAGCAGATTGTGGGCATGGCTGCCGTTGCGAACAAGTTGTACTCGGCCGACTACTCAGGGCTTATGGTCGCCTGGGACAATGACGTTGGACCTTCCGATCTTCATTTCAATGGGAAGGGTCCTGCTAACGCTGTTTGTGCCTTGGATGCCAACGACAAGATTGTTGCCAACGTCGGTCAGGATGGAAAGATTTTCATTACCCCAACTTCAACTCTAACTTTCGACAAACCTCTTACCGTTAAGGGTGGTGGAGTTGGTATCACTGTACCCCGTTCGTCTTCCGCCCCATTCTCCGCAGTCATGATCAACGAAACTCGTATGGTGGCTGTCGACCCCCAGGGCAAGTCTATTGCTGCTGAGCTCAAGCTTGAGAACAGCCACACCGGTTGTTGTGTAGCAGTCACATCGGATGGTTCATTGATTGCTGTGGGAATTGAGATTTCTGGCGGCTCTGGCGAATTGCAATTTTTCACATTCAATCGTTCTTCTTTCTCCCCTGCTGGAGAGGCCATCCGCATGCCCTCGCCCCCCAACCGGATTGCGTTTTCTCCCGACAAGGAGTTTATTGCTGTTGGCGAAAAATCCCGTCGCGTTAAGATATACAATGCCACGACTCGCGCATCTGTCACTGGGGGTGGTAACGTGCATACTGCCCGGGTGGATGCTATCTGCTTCTCTCAGGACGGTAAGAGAATAGCGTCTGGAGGTTTGGACGGCTCCGTTGCCGTGTGGCCGGTCAACTCTGAGGACGAACCGGCTAAGCTGAAGACCGCGCATCGCAATGGCGTCACTGGAATTGCATTTTCCTCTGCAGGATGCATAGTAACAGCGGGTGGTGATTCATGCCTACGGTCTTGGACGTTGTGAGAAGTCAATCACGACTATCGCGATGTTTCATCGCGGACTTTAGACAAATTAACAGATCACAAGGCTGCGTGGCTACTTCAACAACATAGAAGCATTGCTTACGTCTCGCTTCACAATGCGCTCGGCAAGCTCAGACGACAATACTCCTGGAAAATCACATCGCATCCCGCCTTAATCACTTACTAGTGTAGCAACAAGACCTGAGTGCGCAATTGCCCCTTCGCAAAACTGTCCAAAGCTATTCGAATCGAAAACGAAATCGAGAACGCCTGAGAGGCTTACAGTCTCAGAGGCATTTGTGTAGTGACATGAGGCCTCACCTGGAGGGCAGTGTCATCAATAGGTTCTAGTAAACACCACTGCATAACTTCTTCATGCTGCTGTTGGATTCACATGAAGCCCGAATTTGGCAGCATTCACTTCTACGACAGACGCACGTGAATTCAAAGCGGCACTCTATACGACACCACTCTCCTAGCCGCGGAAGGAAATACATGTTCGCAGATCAACATAATTCCATACGGGATGAAGGCAAGCACATATGCAATACACATGAAGTGATACCACTTCGATGCAGTCTCTACGAACCCATCCCCGCCATCATAACACAATCCAGCGACAAGCATTCCGATCACCTCACCAACAGAAAAAGCGAAACCGGCGAGCAAGTTTAAGCTGTTCGAAGCGTTGTTGGTTGGAATGTGCGTTGTCAGGGATAAATCCAACACAGTCAAAGTAAGAGCAGTGCTTGATCCGAGCACTATCAAAGTCACAGGGAAAATTGTCCTAGATCCTTCTAGGAGTATTCGAAAGCCGCAGAAACAAACAAGAAGGCCTACGAAAACAGCATTTCGGATCCCGAGCCAATCCATTATCAGCAAGATCATCCTCCCCTCAGCAATGGTAGCCGTTAGTGTACAAAGTGAAAAAATTGCGGCGACAGCGATTTGGGGCTCGTGCAACTCATGCAGAAGCCGAGGAGCTAGGATTGGTCGCAAGAAAGAGGTCGATGAGGACGCAATTACTGCAAGGAAAAGTGTTATCCAGACCCATGGAAAACGCAGTGCATGGCCTACGCCTGGATCTCGGTCGTCCTGTAGGTCAAGAAGCGCTTCCGCTTCGGAGATCTTGAAGATAGTTTCATCATTTTCTCGAATAGAGCCATACGCGGAATTAGCAAATCTCTCACTGCTCATCCACTGGGAGCCTTCTCGGGTGGTTGACTCGGATGCGATCCCATCGCTAGAGGGTGTCCCTGAAGTGGGACTTCGAAGAACAGTTGACAATCGTATTGAAAGACACATCTGAAGGCACCCGGCAATCAAAAAAGGAACGAAAACGCTTTGTCTTGTTGTCGCGACGCAGTAAAACAAGATAGGTGAAACAGCTGCCCCTAGCCCGATGGCGAGCTCTGAGGCAGCGATACGCTCTCCCACAACCAGTTGCCTCACAGATTCAGTTAGCGATCGCAAGCTATCCTCAATCCATCGCACGATCCCAAGATGCGACATGGAAGCGCCAATGCCGCTGATGGCCATCGTAATCGGGATGCATATTCGTGCAACGGAAGGGCTCAAAACGAACTTGCCTAAAAAGGCATCGGTTGCGGTCCTATGAGCCACTAGCAAAGTGAATGACAGCAGCATGTTACCAACCGTCCCAATACAAGCCCCGCAAATGAGAACTTCAGAGAGAATACAAGCCTTAATACGTTCAGATGTTAAAATTGGGTTGAGAATAAGAAAAGGGCTTGCGAAAGCAATTAGGGTAATAGCTGAGAAGATGACTGGTGAGCCATCAGGTAGCATCATGGGTAGTAACGGCATGGACGCCGTGAATGCCCCAACGGCTACAGCATTGAAGGTGACCAGCAAGATGAAGTGCGGGATGCTTGCGTCTTGTTCTGACATAGTAAAAAATGCCTTGTGTATCGTGGTAGATTCTCCCAGTCTGTGATTGGAGTTCCTGTCCGTGGGAAAAGAATCACCAATGCACTTGCAACACAACACTTCGCGACCTACTTCAAACGATGAGTCCTGCTTAATGGAGTCTAGATAACGAAGTCCCTGATCCTTCTCAGCTTTTCTGAAAAAAAGTAAGCCTCGCAAAAGAAGAAACAGTAAGGCTGCGCCAACTATCCAACAGGATAAAACAGACGTCCGATATGAGTTTCTCCACGATGATCAGCTGCAACTATCGCTTGTGTCTGCATCGGAAAATCAACTGGGATTTAAACGGGGTTTCGAAGTTGTAGTGCACGCACTTGGATAAAACGACTGGCACAAAGTGCGACAAGAGTTTTGCATCATTAGAGAGGTTTAGGGAGCTCGCATCCATAGAAGTCAGCTACTGTTGTCGGGCCGTGTGGCCAAGTGCACAGTATATGTGTAACCGTCCAGTATCAGAATACAAAATGCCTAAGAGCATCCCCACCGGTAAGTCTAAAGTTGTAAAAAATAGGAATTTTTACAACTTAAGATTTTACGCACCTTTTCACTACTCCCACCGGTTCGAAAAGATGCATTTTTTACATCGAAATAAATTCGGGTTAAAACATTTGTTTTATTGGTCCAACATTAAATCAATCAACTAAACATTAACCCTTTTTAATTAAGGATTTTTCCTTAAAAACAAACCCTCATTTAGCCCTGTGCCGCGGTTGTAGACGTTCTAAAGTTCGGACCAATCGGGGTTTTTTCCCGTAACTCTAGTTCTCGATGGAGTTAAGAGTCCTTAACAAAGTGCTCTGGAAGCCGCCAACTGTCCCCTTTCTACCACGCAAGATCATTCATAGAAAAGCTAAGTACTTCTCGAACTAGAATCTACTGTAAAAACAGGGGGTGGACCGATGTGTGAACTGGGCCAAAGTTCTCACATTTCTCACAAAAAAGTATCCAAATTCTCACACTTCTCCTGGAGATGGTAAGTTCTCACTGAGACTTGTGACATATTTCTGTGAAATATTATGAGGCTCTCCCTCGCTACAATGAGAATGTATCCTCGGAGGTAGACGTCTCAAAATGCACGGAGAACATCTCCCTGGGCAGCGAGAGGGTTCTACAAACATTTTGTAGAGCCTGTTTTTCATGCTCAGAGTAGGGGTTTTGGCGCTGAACGCCCATGCATGATACAATTCTCGTTGGGCTTGCACGATTTATGATTAATTATGCCTCGCTATACGTCTCTTTGTTCTTAGAGAATCATTGAAAGCTTCAACATCTTCATGGCTGGGGGCACCACGCTTCAGTTTGTTTGCGCTGTGCCATGAATTCCAGCAATTCTTGCAGATAGCTTGACGACAAACATTGCACCACTGAACCTGTTTTGAGCCTTTGCGTTTAGAGACCGGTTTTCCATTCCGCACTCTCCTAATTGTCCAACTACATAAAACACAGTACGTTGCTTGCCCAACCACCCGACTGTGTCTCAAAGAACTATCTAGCCTTTTCTCCTTGTTTTGGCAGACATTAAATCTCTCAACTGGCCCCTAGTAAAAAGAGGAGTGACACGATTCGCGGATGGGTTTGTTTCTCCTCTTTCTTGTATGTTCAACTTGCGCCATGCTGTCCAATCTTTGGCAAGGAGCCTAGCAAACTTTCCAAAGGTTTCGCATTCAGTAACACGATGTCTGCATTGAGAGTATCCTTTGTTACCAGTACTTTCTCTTACAGAAGGTAATCTCCCTTGCTCTCTAGCCATATTTAAACGAAAGCATATCGCAGCATTGTTAAACTGCATCACCAATAGAAGGGCTATTATGCTCGTCACAAGGTTTTCCGAAATGTTTGAGCGGGGTAACGCCTTCATGTATCGTGATATTACATTACATCAATGCCTCCTTTAAGGTAATTTCAATAAACCGCCGGAGTCAGGCGGATCATTCTTGCTGGGGGTAGAGGGCTCCCTCTAGAGCGTATAAGGCGACGGATGCCATTACTAAGAACCCCCCACCCACTCGAATCCCACGCAACTAATGCTATCTAAAGCATGCGTGTAGGTGTGGCGTATGCTCTCCGAAAATTCAATGAGACAAGCGTAGATAGTACGACCATGGGGTAACGTTTCCACTTGTACCAACAACATATAAAATGTGTCTCAGGCCCAAAAGTAGCTGCATGGTGCATACACTGCACTCTGTAAGGTGACGATGGCACCAAGGTCCTCAATAATGCGTCAGATGTGCCGCACGAGCCGACGTTTGACAACATAACAAACGGTCCGTATTTTTTCCGTGTGTTAGTGGCCTTGTTAACTGTTCCAAGTGCAGTCAATGTTTTGATTTCTGCGGCACAAACAAATGATTGTTCCAGTTCATCCGTGCACGCTATGATAGCGTCTGGACTATCTGCTATCATCTTACTGCTCTTGCTTTCAATCAAGCCTACTGTACGAATGTGTTGGACCGAAAGCTTCCTCGCACCAGAAAACGCGTAAACCACTCCATCAAACACAGCCCGTTCGCGACAATATGCCCCTTTCTGGTCCGGTAGGAACCAAGGAATTCCCCTGAGAACCTCGACCTCATTTCTCGACCCCTCCTTCATCCCTACGGTGGACACCAGTAGCTTTATCACCCAGACATGAAGGGAGGCTTCGCGTAGGGTGTGAAGAAGCTGCGTTGCCCAATCCTCGAGGCGTGACCCCACTGCCATTGGTACATTTTCTGCAGTGTCCAGGTCTACACCACCTGCCTGAAGGTCTGCCTTGAGCTGAAAAGGGCAGTCAGCAATACTACTTTTGCAGGTGAGCCTGCCACGCCCCTTCCAAACACTTGCAACATCTGTTGAAGGTCGTTGGCAGTGAAGGCGTTGACTCTACTTCTTGAATAGCGAGCAATTCTTTCCTCCAAGTCACGCCTTTGTGATGGCTGAGGCACCGAGCGCAGAACCATCCCAAATAAAATGCAAATGCGCTCCCACCTGACCCGAAGTAGCTCTAAACAGGAGTCGTGCTCAGCGGGCATTGGGTTGGAACCCCTAGCAATAGTTCTACCCGCAGCTTCCAGGCCATCGCACCGAAATTCCTCTCGAAGTCCCGTGTCACAGCGGCAATAAATGAGTGTCCCGTTCGAGACGTGAAACGGAACGCGCGCAATGGGAACCAGATGGCGTCCTCCGACTGATGAAAGGTGAGCGCGGATACCCGTTGTACTGCTTCTGTAGTGCAATATTGGGGTCTACCAGGGGGGTGAAACGAAAGGAAATTAATTGGATATGAAAAATAGTCCGGGTTGTGGGACACACGTGTGAGTAATTGCACGGTTTTAATTTCTAATTATTTTATTTAGTTAATTAGTTGGCATTAATTTGGCTGACATTAGATTAGATCTAGGATCTAGCGCTGCGAGCTACTGTAGTGGCTCCGGCTGGGCGATATATACCTTAGCCCACTGACCACCAAGTCAGTAGAGGTAACCCGAGTTGCCAGAGTTGAATATCGCCTTGGTCGAAGTCCGTCTTTCCCAAGACGCTCCCTTTTACCACAGATTACGTTATCCTTTGCGCTCGGGGGTTCCCTTTCCTTTTCCTTTGTTTCACCTATCCATTTCTATTTCTATTTCTATTCCCTTACCTTGTGTTGGTTCCACGGTGCCTGATTGCGATCCGCATTGTGACGACTGGAGTCATCGGGCTCTTGTGTTGGTTCTTTTGTTTGTTGTTGGTGCCATCGGCTTTGGTTGCGACCGGACCGGTGTAGGTGTCTTAGCCATCGGGCGACACGTGGGTGTAGCGCTGCTACTCGTTTACGTCCCCCGACGGAGGCTGTTGCGACGACGTCTCCCTCGAAGGTCCTGATGTGTATACAGGACAGTGTTGGTTCCATCGGATACAGGTTGCGACCGTTCCGGTGTCGGTACTTTGCAATCGGGCAGTACGGAGGTGTAGCGCTGCTACGTGTTTGCTAATTCCCGTCGGGCTGCGTTGCGACGACCCCGTCGAAGACCTTATCAAGGGTATAAGGTGTACCAGGCGCTCAGCGAGCATTGGCTTTACGGCCCATCGGGCACGGCTTCTTAATCACCGCCCCGAACTCGCCGAGCAGCTGCCTGTACAAGACTCTGCCACCATTCATGCCGGGCCGGGCATCTTCCTTTTGCCCCCCCTATCAGGGATTTGAGCTACTGTGGGCCGCAAACCCACTTAAAAGGAAATGGAGAATCGGACACTCCATAGGGCTGTGCCGTCGGCAACTCTTGTTGCTTGTTGTTTGTTGGTTGTGTTGTTGCTGGACCGTTGGACCCTGGTTCCGGCCCGACAGGCATATTGCACTACAGCTTGGTCCACAACTTGGGTGGTTGATAAACTCCTGGAAGCGGAATCTTCCATAGGCGACGCTGTGCTGCATGCAGCAGTCCTGCCTCTCTTTTCTGAGTCATACAGAACCTGGTTCTCCTTAATTGACTGCAGAACATCCTCAACGCGGAACAGACTGTGGGGGAGAATTTTAAAGCTGCGTGAATTGAATAGCTTCCTATTGTTGTGAATCATGGGCGCTATGCGGCCAGAGCAGCACTCTCTATACAGGCAGGCCTCGAGATCCCTTCCAACACGGCGGGCTGGCCCTTCCCATCTCTTAGTTGCAATGTAGACGGCCCAGCACCCACTCTCCAAAACCACCATTCCCCTCGACCTTCTAGAAATAGTACCGCTTCCAAAGACGTATGGATACGTCAGGTCACGTTTATGTGTACCCAAAATGTGGCGCCAAGCGTAGTGCAGACAAACTTGAGGGTCTCCTTTGAGTTGTAACCCCGGTCCGCAGCAAAAAATGCTTCAGCCATTGGCCTCAGTGCTCCTGTCGTGGAAGCGCCTTGCAGTAGTTGAACGATGCGCTCCCACGTGTGCACAAGCTTCTCACCACAGCGAGTGAAATGGCATGCAAAGAAAACTGAGGTGAGAGTGGATCCTAA